ATGGTCCCTAGTGACTCTCTTGGAGGGCTGACCAACACTACGTGGTTTGTACGGGCTCATCGGATAAGGCTTGAGGAGTCTGAGGGCTTGCACTACTGGGTGTACGATCAGGTTGATGTCCCCCTGCAGATACCAACTCGCCCTTGTCACGTGGGGTGCGTCCCAAAATCAAGATCAGTTGCTCACAACATGGTGGACGTCTGAACCTCTCACGAGCGATTTGGCTACTTTCCTACACGTGATCTAGGGATGGTCATGTTAGTGGTCAGTTAGTGCGAACCTAAATGCTAAAAAAGAGTCAACGAAAAGGGTGTAGTTAGTACCCCGGTGCCTGTAGCATACCAGCCGGGGTCAGCTGTCACCTGTCCATTATGTGGGTCACGACCAAGCCCAGTATGGATTTGACCATCGCGCCAATTGAAATACACCCTTTTTAGCTCATTGTACTTGTTCTGGAGTTGTTTCTTGTTGTACCCGAGCCTTGTCGCCTCGTTAAAGTGAAAGCTCTAGTTTGATTTTAGTTAATTGATGAAACCCTAAGTACTAACCTAGTTTATTAAAGTGATTATGAGATAGGTAGCACTACTCCAAGTGATGAAGAAATGGCGAAGATCATGATGATGGTGATGGCATGGTGATGATCCAATGCTTGAACTTAGAAAAGAAGAAAGAGAAAAACAAAAGGCTCAAGGCAAAGGTACAAATATGAGCCATTTTGTTTTAGTGATCGAGACACTTAGCGAGTGTGATCACATTTAGGATCGATAGCCGTACTATTAAGAGGGGTGAAACTCGTATTGAAATGATGTTATCAAAGTGCCACTAGATGCTCTAACTCATTGCATATGCATTTAGGATCTAGTGGAGTGCTAACACTCTTGAAAATGTTTGTGAAAATATGCTAACACATGTGCACAAGGTGATACACTTGGTGGTTAGCACATTTGAGCAAGGGTAGGAAACTTCACCGGTGAAGTGTCCGCCCATAGAGTGCGAACAGTCCGACGGTGCCACTGGTGCCCTAGACAGAAAAGACAAAGGTCACTGAAAGTGACCGGACGCTGGTCTCGGTTGGACCGACGCGTCCGGTCAGTAGCAGCAGAGGGCGTGTGTTTCGGTCTTTGACCGGACGCTGGCGCTAAATGTGATCGACGCCGGCGGTAAGTGCGTCCGTCGATCTTCGACGACTGTTGACGTGGGGCGCCTGAGAGGAGGCATTAATGTGACCGGACACTGGGTGAGTCCGGTCGAGCATGACCGAACACGTCCGGTCGTGAAATATAGCGTTTGGAACCTTACTGGAAACGATCGGACGTTGAGATCCAGCGTCCGGTCACTTTCTAACTGACGCGTCCGGTCATCACTTGACCGTTGAAATCGGGCGATCGACGTTTGAAGCCGATGACACGTGGCCCACATCGCACGACCAGACGCTGAGGTCCAGCGTCCGGTCAATATGACTGGAGCGTCCGGTCGACCCGTGTTCAGTGCAGTGAGGAGCCTAACAACTCAATTTCATGGGGCTTCTATTTAAGCCCCATGGCCGGCTCAAGCTCAGTCTCTTGGCCATTTGCATTGACATAGCAACCTTGTGAGCTTAGCTAAAGTCCTCCCACTCATCTCCATCATTGATTCATCATCTTTGTGGATTGAGAGAGAATCCAAGTGCATTGCTTGAGTAATTACATCTAGAGGCACTTGGTATTCGTGTTTTGCTACGGATTTCACTTGTTGCTCTTGGTGGTTGCCACCACCTAGACGGCTTGGTGCAGCGGTGGAGGATTGGCATGAGTTGGTGATTGTTCGTGGCCATCTCCGGTGATTGTGAGGGGATTTGTACCTTCCCCGGCGAAGCGCCGAAAGATAACTCTAGTGGATTGCTCGTGTTATTGAGTTACCTCACTTGCGGGTAGGTTCTTGCGATGTCCAATCGTGTGGACGAGGTTTGTGCAACACCTCTTAGCCGTCGAACCACCAAGTGTTGGTCGACACAATGGGGACGTAGCGTGTTGGCAAGCACGTGAACCTCGGGAGAAAATCGGTTGTCTCTTGCCATTTGGTATTCTCCCGGTGATTGGTTTAATATTCATCTTGTGATTGGTTTACTACACTACACGGCGATATAATCACCCTACTCACTTATTTACATTCTTGCAAACTAGTTGTGGCAAGCTCTTTAGCGTAATTAGAATTGAGAACTTGATTTGTTATTTAAGTTCATCTAGTGGAGCTCTTTAGTGTAGCAAGTTTGAGAGCTCTTAGTGAGTAGTAACATTGCAAGTTGTGTGCCTAGTAATCATTGTAACTAGAATTGTTGGATAGGTGGTTTGCAACCCTTATAGAGCTAGAGCAAGTTTACATTTCGCTATCTGTTATACTAATCAAATTGCTCTAGTTGATTTGTAGATTTTTAAATAGGCTATTCACCCCCTCTAGCCATATTAGGACTTTTCATAAAGGCACGATGGACATTTGTCCACCCAAGAGGGGTTGGGGTATTGTTGCCCTAGTGACATAGGTTTTTCTGCTGAGTGATTAGCTCAAGAAATAATGAGCAGGTTCTTTCATCCCAGCTAGCACGATCACGGTTCATCTGATGCAATGTTCGACATTCTGATGTATTATGGACATGGATGCTATGGAAATGGAAAAAAGATGTTCCTAGCATTACGCAAAGAAGGGATTGGGTGAAGGAAAAGGGAACTTACCTTTCCAAAACGCTTGCGGCGTTTTGAACGAAGGTTGTACTGCCTGGCTGTTGGTGGAGAGCACGACGAAGTCGACGACGCTGCCAGTGTGGGCAGCGTTGAGTACCAACGGATGAAACATTCTTGAATTCTCTACAGCGTAAACATAGAGCATAATGTTTAGGTTCAACAAAACATAATGCATGAACAACATGCGATAGTACTCTTAAAACCATGTACCAAGTTGTGCATGTGAACATTATAAACCATACAAGATTATTATTTGTAAACTAGGCAACAAGGACATATGAAATGGGACGTTATCAAAATACAAATGGGGTACATACTCAAGAAAGCAATTACAACAGCTAAGTTAAAACAAATATAACAATTAGAGAGGACAGTAAGCCAAACTCACCACTAATGGTAGCATATTTCAAAGAAAGCTCAAATCAAAGGAAACAACATCCTTTCTTAAGCCAAGGGAGGACAGGAGGCCAGACTATTACAATAAGAAAGATGATTGCAAAACCAACTAGTATCATACAATGCAGGATATTTAGTATGGAGATCTTGTGATGCATGTATACAAGACAACTAGTGTTCTCAGGATCCAAGTACACAAACTGGCAATAAGTAGTTTACCAAAGGACGCATGCATTACTAACCTTCTGCAGGTCGAGCTGAACCTAGAACACCAAGTAATAGAGTCTTGTTTTGTTTGGAATTGTACAAGAATGTATTACAATATTGAGCACCAATTTAGGACTGCACCAGCTTCGTCATCCTGTACAATTTGGAGGCAACACAGGGACGGAACACGTCAACAATAAATTATGTATGATCAACAAAGTTATGTTCAACATAGATCTGAAATACGAACCTTCTCAATGGGCGGATAGGAAACACCTGGAAGGAGCTATCGGCGACCGGGTCGTGGCGGAGATGGGGGGTGGGGCGTGGGGGAAACCTATAAGATGAGGCCGTGGGGCTCAGATCCGGCCGGGTGAGACTGCGGAGGCGTGGGATCCGGGGTTACCTTGCTGGAGGCAGTCGGCGTCGATGGAAGCGGGTTCGGGGAGGGAGGCGTAGCTCAAGGCCACCGAGGCTGTCGACGGGGAGACTCGGCGACACGGCGTACAGGGCGGTTACGACCGCCGAGACTCGTGCGCAGAGACGCGGATGAACGGCGAGACTGTGGCGGAACCCTAGCCGCGCAAAGCGAAGGGGAAAAGAGGAGGGCGAGAGGGGCGTCGGCTGTAAATATTAAGCGTCGCTTATAGTCCAACCGATTCGATTTGAAATTTGGGTGCCAATATCGCCTAAATGGCTGTGATTTGATAAGCCCAAGCACATCCAGACCAAAGACGTAATGGTTGGAGTCGCCTACCCAACAAACATGTTTGTCAAATGAGTTGAGAGACGCTGGCTCTGCCACCCGCTGCGGTCACGACAAAACAATCGTCTGACCCGGCGCGTCTCCGCTCGAAACCCCCCGTCCGTCAGGCAGGAGGTGCGCGCGGCTACCCCTAACTGCGCAGGCTGGCGCGGACCAGGTGCACGCGGCCGGCCGCGAAATATGGCATAGCCCAGCGCCCTTTCTCCCGCAGACTCTCTGCATTCTCGGTAGAGGGTACAAAATGTCTGAATGATGACGTCGGGCTCGCTTCATTGACCTTATCAACCGGCTTATCAGCTAAAATCTACAGTATTTTTCTCTCACAATGATCAGCCGGCTCCCACAGTAGCCGAACATGCCCGAAGGAGACAGAAATACTAGTAGTACGTAATTAAATGCTGGAGATCCTTACCCCGGTTTAATTAGCCTTATTATTATTATTAATAATAATAAAATCTCGGCTCTGTTGGCTGGCTCTGTCTTTCTCTCCTCATCACTGTCTCCTCTCCTGCTTAGTAGCCTTCACGACTAAATCCACCACCACTCCCGCACACCTCACCTCCCGGCGTCGCCTTCTCCCCTTGCCCTGCCCTCTGCGCGCGTTGGCGTTGGGCGGGCAGCCAGCTGCTTCCCGCGGCTCCACCAAACCCTAATCATTCCGGCGCCGCCCGCGCGGCCGGCAGGCCTCGATCCGCTCCAGCGGCCGGCCGCCGAGGCCGGCTGCGGTGGTTGCGCTTGCGCTTTCGCGCGGGTCCCGTGGGGCTCGGCGCGCGGCGGGACCCGTCCGCGGCGGCGCGGGCTTCAAGGCGGCGGGCGCAGGCGGAGGGGTGGATTTGCGCGGGCGATGACACGGAGGCTCGCGGCCGCGGCGTCGCGGGCGAGGCCGTGAATGGGAGTGGCGGGGCGCTGCGCACATGGAGGCCGGGGCACCGCCCCGCGGCTGGCGCGGGAGGGTGCTTTGGCTCGTCATCGTTGAGGTGAGCTGCTGCTTCGATCCGGTACGGGTTGGCGGGCGGGCGGGCGTCGGGAGCTGAGTACTCGGAGCAGATTTGGGGCGGAATGGTCGGGAAACTTCGGGGGTTTCAGCGACCTCTTAGCGAATTTGTATGGGCTGATTCGCGTCTCGTGTTTGGAGGTTGATTTGGGAGATTTGGCTTCCTGCTGCGTAGGGTTTTACTTTTTCTCTGCGCATTGTTGGCGCAACTACCAAGTTTCGTCTGTCTCAGTCTCTCAAAGCTATTTTTGGATGCTTGGGGCGCGACCAAGTTTAGGTACAGCAGGGTTTGATCATTCATGTGGATTTTTTGACGTTTCTCTCTCTGTTTGTGAATATTTGGGGTTCTTATAAGTTGCGGTCAAGTACCATTGGATGGAGCAGTGCTTTTGGATCGATCTTGATGATTTTTTTCCCATTCTCTTTGCGTGTTGCAGATTGTGTTGGTTCTAGTCTGGACTCGAGGAGCTGGTGCGGATTCTGGTGAAAGCAAAGCATTGTTTCCACAAGACGTCGAAGCTGGAGAGAAGGATGTCTACCTTAGCCACTCCTGCATCCATGATGAGATACTACATCAGCGGCGACGAGCTGGGCGGAAGGAGTACTCTGTCATGCCACAAGTGTACCATGAGTCTCGGGGGAAAGCGGAGCGTGTAAGAGGACGACACTTGTTGGGCGTGTCGTCTTGGTGTGCTCCACAGAAGAATGACAGGAAGCCAATACGAATATACCTTAATTATGATGCTGTCGGGCACTCGCCCGACCGGGATTGTAAAAATGTTGGCGATATCGTGAAGGTCAGTTTGTCACATTGCTTTCTCACTGCGCTAGCAGCTAATTTATCTGAGTAGTAGAATTGAATTTGTTGTTTCTATTTGGTAGCTTGGCGAACCTCCTGTACCGTCAGCACCAGGAACACCTATATGCGATCCTCATGGCGATCCACCACTGGTGGGAGACTGCTGGTACAATTGCACCCTTGAGGACATAGCTGGGGAGGACAAAAAGCAACGTCTCCGGAAGGTGCAGTTCTTGTGCTTTTGTTGTCTCTCTGCAGGTTCAATTAAAAGCATACCAAACACACTCGATTGCCATAGAAGATGTATCTTTCATATCCCCATTTCCATGTTTTGCGGACTTATGTTTTGTTGTTGAATTGAGTCATGTAACAGGCACTGGGACAGACAGTAGAGTGGTTTAGAAAAGCTCTAGCTGTTGAACCTGTCAAGGGGAACCTACGGCTCAGTGGGTACTCAGCTTGTGGTCAGGATGGAGGTGTACAACTACCCCATGCTTATGTTGAAGGTAATTTTCAATTTAATGAATCAGTTTGCCAATCTTACATTCTTGCCTGCTGATTGCCTGACTCTATATTGTCATGTGAATCCTTCCTCAATTGCAGATGGTGTTGCTAATGCTGATTTAGTCCTCTTAGTAACAACTAGACCAACCACAGGTAACACCCTTGCATGGGCTGTGGCCTGCGAACGTGACCAGTGGGGTCGGGCCATCGCAGGTTTGTGAACCAACACCATTATGTATACAAACATCCACATGTGAGGAGTTTCTGGTGTTGTTCTGACCCTACCTGTATCCTCTTTCTGCTTTTAGGACATGTTAATGTGGCCCCTCGTCATTTGACAGCTGAAGCCGAAACATTACTTTCAGCTACCCTAATACATGAGGTTATGCATGTTCTAGGGTTTGATCCTCATGCCTTCACACATTTTCGTGATGAAAGGAAAAGGAGACGTGGTCAGGTATTACAATATATTTCCCACTTTATTCTTGTGATATATTTTCTTTTGTTTAAAAGAGACCCTAATGCTCAGCATTATTACCTTATTAAAATTTGGGCTGCAACACTTCGACCTGCTTTTAATGTTTCCGTGACTAAAGCGCTAACTTTGTTGGTTTGTTGAATAATCTATCTGGCAGTTACCATATAGTGCTAATACGAGGGCTTACCGTCAAGAGGACAAGCCTGAGAATGGTTAAATAGAATTTAGCTTACAGGTGCTTATAAATTAGAGTCTTGGGAGTTATGTGAAGATTTCATGGTCTGTATAGGAAAATCTGAGATTGTTGAGTGTTTCACCATGACTTGGCTTCTGAGATAATAAATATAAGCAAGTTGAGAAAGGCCTATAAGCTTCGTTTTATGGTAAAATGTATGCTGGCAACTCAATGATTGCTGAAGATTTTGAGAACATGACCTCCGTACTTCTGTGTGAATGTTTACTGGACAAAAAGAATAAAATTCACACAGCGTGGCATGCTTAGCTTAATGACCAATATTCTTCTCTAATCTATGTTTATCTATTTGTTCCTTCAGGTCACTGTTCAAACTTTGGACGAAAAGCTTGGAAGAATGGTTACTCGTGTTGTGCTACCACGAGTTGTCATGCACGCGAGACATCACTATGGAGTAAGTTCTAACTAAAGATGTGAAAAAAAGTTAATTGAGTCATTAGTGACAGTTAATTAGTTTCATGCTCCTTACTTAGGAAAGCACTTTATATAAACTAACCATTTTTTGTCTTGTGCTAGGCATTTTCCCAAAACTTCACTGGGTTAGAATTGGAAGACGGTGGAGGCAGGGGCACCTCAGGTAGATAACATGAGTCCTTTATAGTTTTTTATTTTTATTTTCTTTCCTTTTTTTTGCATTCACTGATATATGTCTGCATCGTGCAAGTTTCTGAACACATTCATTTGTTTTTGGTGTTTGATATACTATTAGGTTCACATTGGGAGAAGAGGCTCTTAATGAATGAGATCATGACTGGGTCAGTTGATACAAGATCAGTGGTTTCAAGGATGACTTTAGCATTACTGGAGGACAGTGGATGGTATCAAGCTAATTACAGCATGGCAGAACATTTAGATTGGGGTCGGAATCAGGGAACAGAGTTCGTTATATCTCCTTGCAACTCATGGAAAGGGGCATACCATTGCAATACAACTCAACTATCAGGATGCACATATAATAGGGAGGCAGAAGGTTACTGCCCTATAGTAAGCTATAGTGGGGACTTGCCCAAATGGGCTCAATATTTTCCCCAAGCCAATAAAGGTATGCCCAAATGTAGCATATATTATTTCGTTTATGACATTAAACAGGATGCTGAATTATATTAAATGGAAACTTCACAAAGATTTAAGTTCTTTTAATTCTATTAGTTCTTACACTCCTTTGAGTCCTTTCTAGTTTAATTAAAGCATAGGCCATAGAATACAAAGAATTGTTTTGTGTGTTCGAAATGTATACAAAATTTGGTTTGAGTTGTAGGGATCAAGGCTAAGATTTGGTGAAGATAGTTAGACGAGATTATTGTTTGCACATAGTTGGTATTTACCATAAAGTTGTCATTATACGATGTATTTCTGAAAAACAAAATCTAAAAAGTTCTCAAACCATGGTTGGAATGGATCTTGAGCTCTAGCTGGGTTTAACGACTCAACACTCAAGGTATTTTTTGGAACTGGTAGATCTATAGGGGGTGGATGAAGGCAGATCTGCATACCCCTCATCCCACACACGCACACAAAAATAAAATGACAGAAAAAGGGACATGATTGATTCTTATTTTGTTTGCGCTGTTGGAATCCTTTAATGAACACTATCATTAAACACCATTATTTCACCTCATCTGATATCCCATTTATAAACATATGTAAGTTTGGACAGATATCTTCTACTGGGTTATCAACCCTTTCCACAAAAAGAAAGAAGAAAAGTGACAAGTAGCAAGTTTTACTTGCATGGTTCCGAAAAATGATAGTGGTGTGCACCCACCTAGCAGTGATTTATGGCGCAACGGCAATTATATGGTAACAGGCAGAGGCACCTGTTTTTAGTATATGGTCTAGTGAATCAACCTGTATATTTTACATCGCTTGCTTGTGCCCCCCTTGTTGTAGAGTTTCTAGATCCAATGCTTCTTTTGTGATATCTTCAGTTGCTATGATTTCTGATCGGCTTTTATTAACTGGATTTGAGGTCTGAATTGTAGTATGCTGTACTTATTCTCTTGCTTATATCATATGTTCCGAATTTGATGTCTGCAGGTGGTCAGTCTTCATTAGCAGACTACTGCACATACTATGTTGCTTATTCTGATGGTTCATGCACTGATGTAAATAGTGCACGGGCGCCTGACAGAATGTTAGGTGAAGTGCGAGGAAGTAATTCGAGGTGACATCACCTACAAACGATTTGGATATATGCACAACTACATCCACTAGTTGTGTTGTAATAATTTTGAATTTGTTAATGAGCAGGTGCATGGCCTCAACTCTAGTGCGAACTGGGTTTGTAAGGGGATCTATGACCCAAGGAAATGGCTGTTATCAGCATCGCTGTACGAATAACTCACTAGAGGTGAATACACTTCATTCCATCAGCTGACACTTGAGTTTGCTTTGCATTCCCATTGTCTTAGGTTTCTTTTCTGCTGAAATGTCTTTATTAATTGTGATGTGCATTGTGATTACCATAAGTATAGTGCCTGTTTGGATCCACCAACTAAACTTTAGCTGCTAAGGATCCAAACGGCCCAGCTAAAAGACCAGCTAAAGTTTAGCTGAGTTTAGCTGCTTCAACCCAGCTAAACGCTGCTAAGTTTAGCTGAGTCTATTAGCTGGAGGATCCAAACGCCCCAGCTAAAGTTTAGCTGGGAGAACTTTTAGCTGGCTAAAGTTTATCTTTGAAATTTTAGCTAGCTAAACTTTAGTTGAGTGGATCCAAACAGGGCCATAGTTGTACGAGTGGTGTGGGGTTCTTGAAAATATTTAACTCTTCTTCTTAATGCAATGCTACTCAGTTCTCCTGTGTATTCAGAGAAAAAAAGTACAGTTGCATGCCTTAAGAATTTGGGGGTGATTATTGAAGACGACCCTTTTCATCAGTTTAAATAATTGGGTTTCTATTTTTGAGTGATATTATCTTACTTTTTCCTGGCTGATTGTTACATCTGATGTCAATCTAGAGGTGCTTCCTAACTTTTTTTTTTTCTAAAGTTTACCTTGTGCTGTGTTCTGAAATCCATGCTTGTTTAGGTTGCTGTTGATGGGATCTGGAAGTCATGTCCACAATCTGGTGGGCCTGTTCAATTTCCAGGATTCAATGGTGAGGGTTGTTACTTAAGGTGTATCAGATCAATTTGTCTTTTTCTCATAGAAGTTACTTTTGCTCTGAAGGGGAATTAATTTGCCCGGTGTATCATGAGTTGTGTACTACTGTACCAGTTCCAGTGACTGGCCAATGTCCAAAGTCATGCAGTTTTAACGGTGACTGCATTGATGGAACCTGTCACTGCTTTCCTGGTTTTCATGGTCATGACTGCAGCAGAAGTGAGTATATGTTTTCCCTTGGCTTCTATTTCCTTCACAATGACATCGGATGTGTGTTTTTCTTCTAATTATCACTTTCTTTGAAACTTCTCTAACGTTTTACTATTTCTGTATTAAGAAGATATTATTCCAGTCACTAATACCATTTGAATATACTGTTCTGTTAATTGTTTATAGAAATACTATGTTAGAAATGATCATGAAAATTGTATAATATTAGGGAGGTACTTCAATGACAAATCTACAAAAAATGTTTTTTCACATGATAGATTTAAATATTTGTGTATTTGAATGGTCAAAGCTGTTGTCAATTTGTCATTGAATGTAGAAATTCCAAATTGGCATCTACTTAGGAAAAGGGTATCTTAAAAAAATGAGTGGGGTGTTCAAGGATATTCAGAGTCAAGCAATTCGTCACATAGTAGCTTAGGTCAGAAAATGTCATTTAGGTTTCTGTTGTTTTGCTCCATGTATTGTCATTTGTCAACCAGGATGAAATAAATAGGCGGCATGTAAGTATCTACCACTTTTATCAGTGGTGTGAACTACACATAATGTGTTTATCCTTGCTAAATTGATATCGTGAATTAGATGATACAACAAGATTGTGGTGTTCAGAAACTGTTGAAAATTGCAGTCACCTTGAAGTGTTCATTCCGTTATACCTCACAAATTCACTATTGTTGGTGTGTTGGACAGGATCTTGCCCAGACAAGTGCAGTAATCATGGTATATGCAAAGCTAATGGGATCTGTGAATGTCAAAGTGGATGGACAGGGATTGACTGCTCAACAGGTGAAGCTTTAACTACTGATTTCTTCTTACTACCAATGATATTAAGGCGTCGCTTAAGCAACGCTTAAGCGTCTGGGCGCTCCAGGCTCGCCTTAGGGGTAAGGTGGTGCCTTGTCGCCTTAGTGCAAGCTGACGCCCCCTCGATTCCGCCATCTCCTCATCGATTCTGATGCTGGCCCTCGTCGATTCCGCCGTCTCCTCGCCACCGTCTGCTCGATTCCACCATCTCCTCACCACCATCTGCTCGATCTGGAAGGGGACGGTGGCGGCTGTAGATCTGGAAGGAGAGCAGCGAGGGAGGGGAGCAGAGCAGCGCAGGGAGCAGAGGAGCGCAGCGAGAGAGAGAGAGAGGGCGGAGCCGCGGAGGGAAGCGGAGCAGCGGAGAGACGAGGCGGAACGAGTGGCGGAGCACATCTGGAAGAGGAGCAGCGCTGGAGGGATTGGGATAACTGGATAAGCCACGCCTGGAGGGGGAGGGGCACATGGGCCGCCTGGTGGGCTGGGCCAGCCCACTTCTTACTCCTCCTTTCTTTTTCTTTTTTCCTTCTTTTTTCTTCATCATTTACTGCTCTAAGCTGCCGTTTTAAGTTTTTCTTAAATTCGCAAGGCCCCGCCTCGCCTCACGCTTTAGTCGCTTAAGCGTTAGGCGGTAGTCACTCGCCACGCCTCGCCTTACAGCCTTAATAACCATGCCTACTCAAAGTTCAAGAAGGCGCTAGGCGGTTTCTAGGCGCTGACCCATAGTCTAGAGCCTAGTCGAGCCTAGGCTAGCCTAGGCGTTTCAAGGCGCTTTTCTAGGCGTTCTATATCCATTCATATTTTACCTGTAAAAGTCTATAAGAAAAGAAAAAAACAGGACACCTGTGGGCCAAGAGTTGTATAGAAAGGCCCATAAAGCAGCCTAAAGCCCATATCTGAGCAGCAAGCTTTATCTCTAACCTCATCCCCCACCCTATCCCTTCGTACCCCTTCGTATCATCCACCGCACGACTGGCCGCGGTGCCCGCCGCCTCCATCCCTGCCTCTCCCGTCCTCCGCGCTGCTTGCTGCCCCCGTCCCTGCCTCCTCCGCGCTGGTCGCCGCCCCCGTCCCCGCCTCCTCCGCGCCGCTCGCACCCGCCGCCGCCCCCGTCCCTGCTTCTCCGCCTCCTCTGCCACCGCCGCCACCGCCGCGCAACGTCCCCGACTCCTCTGCCACGGACTAAAGGCCCTGCCTCCTGGCCGTACCCGCCTCTAGCCTCCTCCAAGCTGCGCTCGCCACCTCTGCCGCTCTGGATCTGCGGTCAGGCCGCCTTTCTTCCACCTACCCCCTTAGGCAAGGCGGCACCCCTCCGCCTAGCATGTAAGCAGGGGCGAAACCAGCTCAAAACTAACCCTGGTGCACTCTCTCTATCAAATATCAAGGAATATACACAATTATAAAGGAAATACATAAAAAAATTGAGGTAGGTATTAGTAATTTTTTGTTTTTACCGTGGTGCACGTGCACCAGGGAAAGGCAACGTGGCTTCGCCCCTGCGCGTAAGCGCGCCTAGGCGAGCGCCTAGTAGCGCCTTTTTGAACGTTGTGCTTACTACTCTCTCTAGTTACAAAAACATGTCGATGAGGATAAGATTTGGTCAAACCTTGAAAACTACAACGTCAAAAACTTTTAGATCATTTAGTTTGGAGACATGCAAAATATGTGTAGATTTTTATTGGAACATACTTGCAAAATATCATAAATTTGGAGGATTTTAAGAATATCTCCTAGAAGATATTATTGGTCAAAGATATGCATAGAAGACCATGCAAAGTCAAATGTGACAAGCATTGTTGGCTGGAAGGGAGGACATATTTACGCATTGATGGCTTGGTTGAATTCATAAGATTTATGACATGGTAGAATGTTTTGCTTGACAGTTGTCATGTTGGGGTAATGGATTTTGAATTGTGTGATGAAAGAAATGCCTTATCTTCACGTTCTTATTCATGTAAGCAAGAAGTAATATCCTCCTTTCTTTTTATGCAGCGGTTTGCGATGAACAATGTAGTTTACATGGAGGGGTTTGTGATAATGGTAAATGTGAATTCCGCTGTTCAGATTATGCGGGCTACACATGTCAGAAGGGTTCTGCAATACTACCCAGTTTGTCAATGTGTCATGATGTACTTGTTAGAGATTCAGAGGGGCAGCATTGTGCACCAAGTGAACTCAGTATACTACAGCAGCTTGAAACTGTAGTTCTCGTGCCAAATTACAATAGATTGATGCCAAGTGGGCGGACCTTCCTTAACTTCTTCAACAATGCCAATTGTGCAGCAGCTGCAAAGCGGCTAGCCTGCTGGGTACTGCTTTCTTTGACCATTTCTCTTAACATTTTTATCATGGTTTTTGCTGAAGTTTTTTTTTTTAATATTTGACAAACTTAAGCTTGACATTGCATACTCATTCCTGGATTAGGCTTTTGCTCATTGTTGCTTGAAAATAAATAAATTCAAGAACAGTACCACACTAGATGAGCAATAGGTAGCACTGTCTAGCTCGTGTTAGCTACTGGTGCTACTAAGCTACTTGTGTTAACTATCCGCGCACGAGCAAACTACTTAAACTGGTATAACTAGCTAGTGAGAAGTTGGTTATTAAGCTACTTGTTAGTTGGTATCCCTGTCCTTGATTTTTGTCGAGTGCCGTCAATCATGTCACTCGAGTCATGTGAAAAACAAATGTTAATGTTAATATGATATCAGCAAATCTATCAATGAATTAACTTTGCCTGATCGAACTTCTCTTATCAGATCTCAATTCAACGGTGTGACGAGGATGGGGACAACAGGCTCCGGGTATGCTACTCTGCATGTGAATTGTACAATACAGCTTGTGGAGCGGGTCTGGATTGTTCAGACCAGACCCTTTTTAGCAAAAGGGAAGAAGAAGAGAAGGGTGTTCCATGCACAGGTTATGGCGAGAAGAAGTCTTTCTGGCTATAACATGTCCGAAGCTTCTTCCGTTGTGGCTCTGGTAGAAGTTTAGTGATTGTGTAAAGTATATTTGACAATGTTCCACCCCATATTCTTTTTCTTTCTCTTCTTTTTTCCCATTTCATCCACTACTTCCCAATTGTAGGATATGGGAAGTAAGCGGTCCATTTCACCTAGGCACCCGAAGATGGGCTGCCTGGTGTACAAGCTATGTTGGAGTGGGCTCTTTGTTAGAAGGTTAGTCTGACATGAAAAGGGGAGTGGGGAGCTGGAGGTGGAAGTTGGATGGTAGATTTTTCGTTTTCACCGCATCAGAATTAGTGAACGGAATGTAAAGGTTGATGTGTGTTGTACTCACTCTTTACAGAATCATTTCAGTGGGAGCCCTTGTGTTGTGTCCTGTGCCCCATGCGGCAATGCCCCATGTCTTAAGCCGCCGTTGGCTTTTATGATATTTGATTGACGCATACATGGCCAACACAGTGGCAGTGGTTTCGCTTATGTTCAACTGGAATTCGTTGTAACATTGATGCTGACGTCTTGGGGTGATAAGATTACATCGCTTCGTGGCTGCTGTGGAACCAGGTTTCCTGTCTTGCTGATTCCTGATGGCTTGATACAAGGTGGTTTGTTTGACCAGATGCCATTGGAGCTGTCACATGGCATTAATTTAACACAAGTATGTCATTTTGACAGTAACGAAGTGTCAAGGACAGTTATTATATATTACTCTGTTGGATAGGAATAGTCATTTTGACCGCTCAACTATTGTCTAAGGCTCAAATTCGTCCCTGACTACTTTGACAATAGTTGTTTCAATCATCAAACTTTACTTTTGGGTCTAATTTCATAACTACCATCTCTCCTAAATTATAAGTTATTTTAACTCTCTTGGAGAGTCAAGCATTTTAAATTTGATCAAATTTATATAATAAAATAATAACATTTATGATGTCAATAAGTACCATTAAATCTTCATTAATAACATTTTCATAGTATACATATTTGATATTATAAATTTTTGTAATTCTCTCTACCACTATTCTGAAGATTTTTTTTAATTATTTCTTATCCTACTTTCCTAGTTGTCCAAAGTAATAATTTACTCCTAGATTATACTACATTACCACCTACTGCCAGCCATGGCTGGAGCAGCAGCTCCAACACATCTTCAACGTGTACCCGGCCAGTACCCTTGAGGAGCCTGGTGGTGAATTGTGCGTGATAAACTGTCAATACAAGTTGGTAGGTTTGCTGCAACTTTTCCATGACTGCCCATGCAGATATGTATATATTACATAATGAAATTACAATAACTAAACCAGTAACAAACCGATGCCCATGAGATTCTGCGCGCCCTCTCCTCCGAGACATTGCGATCCTTCCATGGTGATCGAGCGACAGGGTCTCCTCCAAGGCTAGGGAACGAAGAAGGAGCTGTCAAGTTGATCGATCCAATCCAATGGGGATGCTGATACCAGCCCGGCCGGAGCAATGCACATTGAGCCGTGTCGTGGCCCTCACCACCGTCTGCGTCGTCATCGTGGTTTGCACGTACGTCGCGTCGTCGTCTTCTCCGGCCGGCGGCGACGCCGGGAAGGAGGAGTTCTTCAACATATGGCGCCGCCGATCATCGGCAAGTCTACTTTTGGTGTTCAAAAAATCGTTAGCTAGCCCTTTCAGGATTAATACTGTTACTGCGCAGCCTAATCAGCTCGATATATCTAAACCCTAGCTTAATTCTTGTCAAAACGGATGCCCAGGATTTTGCCCCCGACGATCTGGAGGTGGCGCTGCGCGGCGCAGCGTACGCGAACAGGACGCTGATCCTGACCATGCTGAACAAGGCGTACGCGGAGGAGGGCGGCCTGCTGGACCTCTTCCTTGAGAGCCTGAGGGAAGGGGACGGGCGGACGGCACCGAGCAGCTCATCGACCACGTCCTCTTCGTGGGCATGGACCAGCAGGCCTTCCGCCGGTGCAGGAGCCTCCGCGGCGGCGTCAAGTGCTACCTGCTCCGGCCGGTGGACAGCCAGCAGGGCGACCTCTCGTCGGAGCAGCTCTACATGTCGGACGGCTTCATACGCATGATGTGGCGCCGGATCCGGTTCCTTGGCGACGTCCTCAAGCACGGCTACAGCTTCATATTCACTGTGCGTATGTTTGCGATCATGCATGCATGCATATGGGCATCTCCATTATTGGTACATGGTACATGGTACATGCATTAGCTTAGCATGCTTAGATTTTTGGTGCTTTTGATTTGTAATAAAGGATATGGACGTGATGTGGCTGAGAAATCCGTTCCCGAAGCTGGACCGCGGTGACGGCGAGGACTTCCTGATCAGCTCCGACAAGTTCAACGGCGAGCCGCACGACTACGCCGGCAACGAGCTCAACACGGGCTTCTTCTTCGTGGCCTCCAACGACCGGACGGTGGCGCTGTTCGACGAGTGGCACGCGGCGTGGCGGGGCTCGGCGGGGATGAAGGAGCAGGACGTGCTGAACCGGATGAAGCGGCGCGGCGCGTTCCGCCGGCTCGGCGTGCGCGTGCGCGTCCTCGACACGGCGCGCTTCAGCGGCTTCTGCCAGGACAGCCGGGACGCGGCGCAGGTGGCCACCGTGCAGGCCAACTGCTGCCGCACCAAGCGGGCCAAGGTCGCCGATCTCAAGGCCGTCCTTCGCGCCGCCAAGCGGCTCAACAGGACGACGACGGAGATTAGGTGGCCAGCGCATCGCGAGTGCGTAAAATCGTGGTTGTGAGACGGGGAAGGCTTTTTTCTCGAGGCCTTGCTATCTGGGGATGTTCTCGTCTTCTTTCCCGCTAACAGTGCAGCATGGCAGGCCCAAAGCAGGAAGTTCCCAACTTAGCCAATCGTTTTTGTTAACCTATTTAACCCATCTATAATCATCAAAATTAACTATTTTGATTGCATGGGTTGTTACCTTTAGACATGCACCAAAAGATGCCACTTAGATTTGTTTTTTGAGGTGTGAGAGAGAGGAGAGGACAGAGACGATAGCAGAACTGCAAACCTACAACGTATATGTCAATAAAACCAACCATTATTAGCCATACTCTCAATGCGAGGGAGTATTGGGGAACATTTCTCAACACGAGAAGGTAGCTAGGACAGCAGTTATTGAAAACAAAGAAATAGATTAGAGAGCATCATTGGAAGTGTTATTACGATTTTGTGTTACAACTGATGACATATCAAGAGTTCAAGTACTGGATTTAAGCTTTTTAAACGCAGAAACTATGCGTTATTTTGATATTTTCATTAGCATATAAGCACAGGAAATCCTGCAACTGAGCTCAATCCATGAACTTACACATCTGAGTGTCTTCCCTCACATCAATTTAAGGGCCAAAAGTTAGACCCTAGAACAGTTGGGAGAACTGTTATTCAGACCAATGATAACAACATTTTCGTTTCCACCAGACTGTAAATTCCAGCGCAAGGATAGTGCCTCGTGGTAGTATTCGTGCCTAAATCGTTACATCATTTGCTACTGTACAAACATTGTCTGTGCATCGGTTCTAGTAACCTTTGCCAAGCCAAAGCTATTCCGCTCTTAACCAAATCTCTGCTTAAAATTTATGCAACCTGCAAAATTTCCTGACGCTTGATCTCAAATACCTTCTGAAGAGCATCCTCAACGACCTGTATAAGTAGAATGCCATTATTGCCATCAAGTTTTTTGTGGTACAAGCAAGCTGTGTAGAAAAGAAACACTTAAAGTTAGATCAGTACTGCTTTGCGTTACCTTGTCCGGAGTTGAGGCACCCGAAGTAACACCAATGGTAATAGGCCCCTCGGGTAACCAGTTCTCTTTCTCAACAAGTTCACCATGCTGTTAAACAATCCAATTTTCAGTTAAAAAAATGAGATCCTATATTTTCAATTATTAAATTTAAGCTCTTTTCAGTTCCTAATTAAATGGAAGATACCTTCAAAATCTTTTTTTTTTCCAAAAAAAAAATGAACATTGTCCTGGTTAAACAAAGCAGCATCTGTGGAGGGTATTAGAAATTACATTTAACTTGTAGCTGATCATGTTTCCTGGTCCAATCCTTTGTTCACTGTCAATCCAGTAGGATGGAATTCCACTGAGTTCTCCAATTTCTTGCAGATGAGAGGTGTTACTTGAATTCCATCCTCCAATAACAAGAATAAGGTCAACTTTCTCTTTCACCAGCTGATACATAGCATCTTGTCTTTCCTGAGGAATCAAACAGATGGCCGGATGTATATAAGTCAATGCAGCATATATGTCAAAACAATTATAAATCTATCACCCAAAGAGACATTTTCTCAATCCAAAAGTGGAGCAATAAATGAACTAGGATCCTCTTAACATTGACTTAAAATAAAGGTGTCATATAAGCTGTCTCAGTTTCCTTTGCAGGTTGCATGTAAAGGGTGATGGTGATTGTATTGTACCATGAATGGCTACCGTCTATCTTGAATTGTATGCTACCCTTTTCTAAACTTTTTATATGCTACCTTTTTCTAAACTTTATAGTACAATAGTCACAAAAATCAGCAGCAACCACCAGCCCAAACTAATTACAGGCCCATAGTACGGTAATACTAATTCCATCATTCCCAAAAGGTCCACATTTTAACCTCATGTAAAGATTAATAAATGCAGTAAGACTGCCACTTCCATTATAGGATACTCCTCCTTCCCAGAAAGAGAGACATTCTCACTTTTCGAGAAGTCAAACATTTTCAACTTTGACCAAAATATATATATATAATATTTATGGTGCAAAATTAGTATCATTAGATGAATCGTTGAATATATTTTCATAATAAAATTATTTGGAGATATAAATGTCACTAATACTTTCTAGAAACCTAGTCACATTTAAGAAAGTTCGACCAACACGACTCCCATAACAACACTCTTTTTGGGACGGAGGGAGTATATTGCACTGAGGATCAATGGGGTAGGTGGTGGTTGTTTTCTTTTGTTGCCTATGTTCCAATTGATAAATGAGAACACACAATGGAGTGTCTGTCAAACATCAATATGGGCAAGTTCGGAAAGCAAAGTTCTTTGAACAGTTAGGACGATGTTCAATCAGGCACATCCATCTTTCATTCAGCAATGGAGTAAACTAGATGATACAGAAACAACCAGTTTCTGAAATCATCAAGAAACCATACATTTTGGAATGCTTCATGTAACATCTAAAAGGAAGAGACTCAGTTGGGTCGGGCTACAAGACTTTGTGTTATGCAAAGCTGAAGGAAATGTTGGAAAAGGAAAAATTACCTGAGTGGCATCGCAAATAGTATTGAAGGCCATGAAGTGATCGTTTACATTTTCAACTCCATATTTTTGCATCATAGTCTTTTCAACAAGTTTCCCTATTAATCATACAGCATTACAGTCAAAATTGGTGCTTGCTAAAACAATATGTACTGTATAAATCACAACACATATCTATGGAAGTAGCAGAGGCTGGTTGGATAACCTACCAATTTCTTCAGTTTCTCCTTTAAGCATTGTTGTTTGATTTGCAATTCCCACCATATCAAGATCAACATCAGGATCAAATCCTGGAGAAACAGCTCTCTTGAATTTCTGCAGTTGTGTGCCAAACAGTTTAGTTGGTCATTCGTTTCCAGCATGCCAGTAAATGGATAACTTGAGTAAAATCCTCAGTCCTTACCTCAAGGAACTCCTCTTTTGTTGAGCTAGACCCATCAAGTTGGCCACCAAGTATATAATCACACACATAGGTTGCCTATTGAAAATATTTCAACTTTCTTATCTCTGATCATGTTCGATACAAAGTCCAAAGAACAGCAACACATAAAATTCGTTAGATGTACCTCTGTCATATTCTTCACAATGATGTACTTTCCTGCAAAAGAAGCAGTGGCAACAGTTTCTTCGTGGGAATATTTTCCATGAATAATTGAAGTATATTCACTCTTCTTGTGCTTTTCGACCATGTTCCAGACCTATATTGAATAATGGACCTCATCAGCCTGATATAGTAAGTCTTTTTACTTTCGAGAAACATCGATCAGCAGCCGATCGCCAAGTGGTATAAAAGGAAGAATGCAAGGAGAGGTCTTCAAAAGCAAAATTCACCTTTGAAACCCAAGGGCAGGTCGTATCAACAATCTGCACTTTCTTCTCATTTAGCGTGTACATCTCCTCCACAGCAGCTCCAAATGCAGGCAACACAACAACATCACCTTGTTCGACTACATTGAAATCCTTGATACCCGCATCAACAGGAATGATTTCTACACCCATCTCATCCAACCTCTGCATGACCAATCACATGAATTCAACTCAGCTAAGCACATAAGCCTCTGAATCAGAGTATCACAAATTAAGGACAGAGAACAGTGGACACTATGATTTTTGCTTTGCAGGTAAGGCCTGAGCACTGGGGCCGAATTAAACTGGAGTTTTGGAACGAACACTTTCAGCGCTAGAATTTTACTTTGTAACACTCAGTCGGGCATCAGCTCGTTCTGCGCCCTTACACAAGAGGACGCAGCAGACCACTGATTTCATCACCCACCTAGTTCCGTATGAAGCTCAGATTCTTAGAGTTGACAGATTTCGGATACGGTTACCTTGTTGACGGTGGGGTTGTGAATGATTTCGTTGGTGAGCCAGATGCGCTCCTCGGGGAACTGCTTGCGCGCCTCGTACGCGATCTGCACGGCGCGCTCGACGCCCCAGCAGAATCCGTAGGCCTCCGCGAGCTTCACGGTGACGGGGCCCCATGTGTACTGGTTGCCGTTATCCTTGAGCGTCTTGATCACATCGCCTGCATATATATATACCAATTCGATTCGGTCCCCCATCAACCAGTCTGGAGGAATGGGGAAAAGCACCAGGTTCCTCCGTTCTTGCTACTACCACTTACTGGTGTACTCCTGGCTCATGAGCTCGAGCGTCTCCTTCTTGTAGCCGAACCCCTTGCGGTTGTAGTTGTCGCTGCGGGTGAGGTTGTGGCGGAACGCCTTCTTGTCGAAGTCCGGGTCGAGCGAGGCGGCCGCCACGGGCGAGGAGGGCGGGGAGGCGTCGCAGCGCACGGAGGAGGGCGCGCGGCGCCGGCCCCCGCCCCCGCGGCGGTGGCCCGCGGACGAGGCGGCGGCCGGGGAGAGCAGCGCGGAGCGGAGCGGCGTCGTGATGGTCGCCATCGCGGGCGTCGTGGGCCTCGTGTCGCTCAGTGGCGGAGGCGTCGCTGGGGAAGCAGGAGGAGACGACGGACGGCGAATGGGATGTGCCTCGGCTCGGACGGGACCTGCTCTGTCTTATCCCTGCGGCCCTCGCTCTTCTGAGTTGTGACGCCGTGGCCCCCCGTGGAACGGGAGGGATATTCCGTGGCGCGCCAGGCGCGGCTGCGAGGGCCGCCGGTTGCTGTCCTCTTGCGCCGTACCAAACGCCCAAAGACCTTGGCCAAACGGGCCGCCGGCACGGCACTGGCACGTTCCGTGCCTGATAGTGCCATTAGGCGTGCCGCGTCGATTTAGCGGTCTAGATACGGCAATATCGTGACTTAATTGTATCGTGCTATGTCATTAGGCACGGCAGCCCATAGTGTCCGTGCCAACATTAGTACTATAAGTACAGGACATCTCAAAATGATCAGAATATTAAAGACAATAACTTTATCATTTTAAACTTATATAATATAGATTCAAAGTTAAATTCAGAAAACTTATCAAAGATTCAACCTTACAAGTTCATAGAAACTTAAGATCACATGATGTTAAGATCACAGAAACTCACAAGATCACACAAACACAGAAAGAGATAACAAAATAACAATTTATTATGAGCTTTAGTGCAATGGCTGCCTCATTAAAAACTTGTCTAGATAAAATTCATCCTTGTGAAAAACCCTAGACAGAAAAAAAAAGTACAACCCAGCTCCATAGAAATTCATTGTCCTTACATCAAAGTTCATAAGTCCAGAATATTATAGTCCCATTACATAAATAATCACTAAGACACTAATCAAGATAAAGTTATTCAAATGCTTCTTCAAGTTCCTTGTCATCCACCATGTGTTGCAGCCTTACTTTAGCAGCCTCCCAATCTTTGATGCATGTCAGCATCTCCACCATCTCAGACTTTAGCCTCCTCCGCCGCTCCTCGATGATCCTGCCAGTCATACTAAAAGTAGATTATGAAGATATATAGACACAGTAACAGTTAAAATATATTTAGTCATGATTGACAGCACTAGATATGTGAGTTTGTGCTGATGCCACCAATTCAAGATGTTAAAATCATCATTTAATTGGTTCACAGTGTCACAATCCAAGTAAGAAACAAGTTCATAAGCATTAGAAGTTGAAGAAGTTACCGCCTGCAGCAGGACAGTTACAGAGGTATCTCTAGTCATGCTTAAAGTAGCAGCTAGAGGATGCATATCATCGGTAGAACCACCAACATCATCATCATCATCATCATAAAATTCATCCCAAGCAGACCTTTTCTTACCAGACAGGTTAGGAGGGACAATCCTCCTCAACCTAACAGATCCATATTTCTCATCATATTTATTATAAACATCAGTAAGTCGAGCTCTAGCGCCAAGCTAGTAAGTAGTATAATATGTACCAGTAAGGTTACCCAACCTCCTAAGCACTCTATTGAAATCTTTTATTTTACCTCTAGGGTCCAGGATAAATGCAAAAGAATAAAGCTAAGGGTATGTCCCTTGAGTATTTATTATATTTGTCTATTATAGGTTGAACCACAGATCTGATGTGACTATCATTAGCATAATTCTTTAGGTGTATAGCAATCTTAACAAGATAATAAATCATAAGTGGAGATGTAGGATATTACACACCAGACAATGCAACTGTAGAATCATAAAACAATTCAAGAAATTTAAGCACTTTTTCTGCCATAGCCAGCAATGGACCACCTTCAATCCTAGGATAATGAGCATGCATGAAAGTAGTGAATGAGACCTTATGAGGAAACAAATTTTAAGCATTAGATATGTAGAATTCCACCTTACCTCCATGTCTAGCTGAAATTTTTTAGGCCTAACATCAGTGACAATGTAGTAACTTTTATATGCAGCAATTCTCTGGTTATATGGGTTCAAAATAATATTGCAATTTTAAATGTTTCAATCGAAGGCTTAAGAGCCTCAAGGGCCTCCTTAACAATCAGATTGATAATATGATATGCACAATGCTGATGCAAGAACATTGAATTAACTGCAGTAAGGGATGATACATTGTCTGATTGTGATTCAACAGGATCATCTACAACCTCAATACCAAGATATTTAGATATCACATGTCTAAGTTTACGCATGGCAGAAATATTAGATGATGCATTATCTAAAGTAACAGCAAACACCTTTTAGTTAAACCATAATCTATAAGCACAGATACAACACGATCAGTAATGTTTTGTCCATTGTGGGACACATCAATAAGCACAAGACCAAGCATCCTCTTCTCTAGTTGCCATCAGAGTTTATGTAATGAGCAACAACACTAAGGTAGTCCTCTTTGACATTACCAGACCAAATATCAGAGGTCAAACAGACACAACTAACAGCAGAAGAACTAAGATTCTCAAAAAACTTAGCCTTACGATCAATGAAAAATTTAACCATGTCTCTAGTGGTGGTTTGCCTAGAGACAGGGACATATTTAGGATTATGAGCAGTTTTAATGTACTCTTCAACTGCACTAGTTTCACCTATACTGATAGGAACATCTAGCCTAGCAAGCAATCGAAGAAGTTCAATACGTGCAACCATAGGACAGTACTCCTAATTACATACTACCATCAAGATTAAAAGAGATCTGAGACTGAGACATGCGATTTTTTTCACGCCTCCTGAGGCATTTATCCCTATGCGGGATGAGGTGACCACTGCCACCACTAGAGAGAGCAGAATATTGCTTAGAGCAATGGATGCACTTAGCGGCATACCTGACCTTCTTACCATTGACTTTTTTAAAGAGCTTAAAATCCAGCCACACTATCGAGATAGAGGGACGAGAGCGCTTGGTGCTATTCTCGTCCTCTTCACCTTCCTTATCGTTTGCTGCCCTGACTTCTTGACCATCACCAACATCAATGGGAGCCTGAGCGCTACGGCCGAACAGCTCCTCGGCGTCCTCGCGTAGGTCGTCCTCATCGTCATTTCCGCCAACCCGCACAACCGCCTCTCTTTGTTGGTGCCGACCTCAACCGTTTCATCGTCGGAGCCGAGCATCGTCACTCGCCGACGCCTTGATTCCTCAACAGCTATAAAAAAGAAGCGTCAATACAGATCTTGAAAGTGCAATCAAGCCCTAATTGTGAGTTTTGGTGATAATGACCACGCAATTAGAAAACTAATGAGATTTATCGAGATGATCAACTTGTGTGTGGTGTTCCTACTACTTCTAGCTCTTGATCTGTGATTGTCATACCTGCAGTAAGCTAGGAAATTTCTCCGATCTAAGTTTTCGTTCATAGATTTTGAACTGTGACTCAAAGTTGTCTGCAGGTGTGGCAGTGCCGCTGTTCTGGCCCAGTAGTGCCGCAGGGTGAATTTGATAGATGTTTGAGTGTTTGTTTTGACATGCTTATTCACCCCTCTAAGCTAACTAGAGATCCTACAAGTGGTATCAGAGCCACCTCATATACGCTTCACCGCATGAGGTATGGATAGCAGCGAGCTGAGCGCGTCGACAGCAAGCAACACCACGCTACCGCATCTTAAGGCTGCCGATGCCGAAGGAGCTCTCAATGAGAATGAGAGAAGAAAAAGGAAGGAAGAAAGAAAGCTAAAAAAGAAGCAAGAGAGAAAAGGAGGAGGAGCGGTTAGAGAAGAAGCAAAGGAAAGAAGAAAGAAGGCTCAAGAGAGAAGCAAAAAAGAAAAAGAAGAGAAGCTAGAAAGAAGAAGGAAGAAGAGATGGCAACAAGTGCATCATCAAGCATATTAAGAAGTTCTAAAGATGGAGATGATGATGAGTCATACCAAGTGTCGAAAGGGAACAAGAAGGAGAAGAAAGAAAAGGGCAAGGCCGACAACAACAAATATGCCGCCATATCCTTTTACTATTCTTCTATTCCTATGACTAACCATGATCGGAGGTCTTTCCTCAATGTGCCCATGGACAAGTTACCTTATTTCAATGGGACTAACTTTACCAAGTGGAAGTATTTGATGAGAGCCTATATTATAGGTCTTCACCCCGACATTTGGGAGATTGTTTGTAATGGATTTAAGCCACCGGTTGATCTCAAGAACCCAACACTAGAAGAGATGAGAATCATTTACCTCAATGGTCAAGTCACAAGTGTGTTGCTTAGTGTCTTGGATGGTGTGAGTACAATAGAGTGATTGTAGTTGATGTTGCCAAACAAATATGGGACACTTTGCACCTAGCACATGAAGGGGTTGATAAAGTGAGAAAGGCAAGAATTGACTTGCTGATGTCAAAGCTCAACTATTTTGTAATCTTAGATGGAGAGGGGCCACAAGAGATGTTTGATAGGTTGATAACGATGGTGGGCAAGATTAGAGGCTATGGTTGTGATGAGCTAGATGATCACAAAGTTGTCAAGATTATGTTGGAAGCTTATTCACCTAAAAATAAGACAATAGTCACTCTAATTAAAGACAAAAAGTTTGAGTACTTCACACCAAATAATGTACTTAGGAGGATTTTGACCTTTGATATGCAAAGAGAAGAAGCAAATAAGAGGAAAAAACTTGGAGAATTGCAAGCAAAGTTAGAGGGCATCAAGATCAAAGATGTGGCTCTCAAGGCCAACAAATCAAACAAGCAAGGCTCTACAAGCAAGTCCAAGATCAACCAACAAGCTTCAACTAGCAAGTCCAAAGCAAGCAAGCAAGTTCAAGAAAGAGTAGAGACCACATCATCTTCAAGTGAAAGTGAAAATAATGATGATCAATATGAGAAAGTTGATGATGTTGCTCTCTTTATGATGAGGTATCACAAGGGGCTAAAGAAGTAAGGCTACAAGGTAGTGAAGAGATGCTTTCCAAACAAGAAAAAGAAAACATGCTACAATTGTGGAAGCATCGATCACTTCATTTCCAAGTGTCTATATTAGATCAAGGACAACAAATACAAGAAGGACAGAAAGAGGAGAAGACCAACCGTAAAAAGAGTAAGAAGTACATGGAGAGGCTCACATTGAG